AAAGTCCTCTTCCCTTAAACCTAAACTCACAAAAATTCCTACCTGTTAATAAATTATTAAATTAACCTTTTTTCAAGTCATCTTCAGCTGCTTGGGTTTCCAATAATATTTTCCCTGCCGCCTTTTGCAAAACTTTGTCATTTTATTGGCAAATATTTATGATAATTACAGACATTGCTACCAACTGGGGAAAATAAAATCATTTCATGGCTTTAAATGATGGGCTTTTCCGGGGAGAGAAGCAAACGGAAATTGGGAATCGACATTTTTTGTGTGTACAAACATGTGACATTCAAAGCCAACTTTTGTGGCAAACAAATCGAGAGAGTTCCGGTCAGGCATATTGATAGTCCTTAATTATAGCCTTCATTACCACCCCCCACCTTCGTTTCCCTCAAATGCTGATGAGTGTCACGCGTTAAAGAAGAGCTTCCCTCCCCCCCAGTGGGTGTCCTGTATAATTCATGGTTTTTCAACCTGAAATTAAATGGAAAATTGCTCGGGAACCGAACAGGCTTTTCAAGGGGGGCTTTCCCCATGTGTGTGCGGGTGTGGAAGGCTATGTAATTTGAGTAAAGTTTTCATGAAAATTGTTAAGTGCCCAATTGTGCGTGTGAATGTGTGTGTAATCGAGCGTCACCAGCGAGGCAGAAGGACGGAGGACGAACCTGCTGCAGCGGGCACACAACACAACACCTGTCCCAGTTCGCATTCATTGTCCTGGCAGGGCGGCTCGGAAGGGGTGGCCCCAGGCCAGGATGGGCCTGTGTATCCTGGTGTATCAGGTGCCTGGGCTTTGGCTTGTGAAATAATTTGTGCAACGAACCAAATTCAAATCACAGCAAGCAGGATATGTGAGGGAAATTGGCAGGCTGTTGTCCTGGTTTCAGGGATATTTTTTTAAATTATTTTAAATTAATAAAATAGATTATCGGTTGTTAGACAGCCAGGATAAAAGAATCCTGAAGGTTTTTTATGTAATATTTATAAAGTTTTTAAACATTAAATTCAAATTTATTGTTAAACTTTTTGCACTTAAATTTTCTAATTTCTTATTATAAATCCCATTTATTTACTTTTTCTTTATTTATCTTCTCAAACCAAAACTACTTCTCCCCCTAAAATAAATTCTATTCTACCCGCATCTCTTGACATTGGCAAATTAATTCAGTTCTATAACTCAACACACAATGCTGTCAAAATATTGAATTTTTTTCATTTCCCTTTTGCTAAATTATCAACGTCAAATGGGAAGAGAAAAAAAGCGGAGAAAACGTCGACGGCAAGACATCAGAGAAGCGGCAAAATTCGCATCTTCACCGCGAAGCTTTTTTTTATTTGTATTATTTTTTTTGCAGAAGCTAAAGGTTGTCTCTGAGACAGAGGCCCTCAAGCACACACACTCAGGCTCAGACTCAGACAAATCCCCAATAAAGACAATAAATTTTCAATTTTATTTTTGCCGCAAAGCCAGAGCGCTTATGGCATTTTTTATTACGAATTGGTGAAAACAAAATAAGCAGTAAAATTAATCGTCGACTTAGCCGGGCGATTAAGGGGAAAAATATCAAAGACGGCATCCATTTTGGAACTGAAAACTTGGAGAAGAAGTTTGAATGGTTTAGCCAGTGGAAACTTTTTTGAGGGCTCAGAGCGGAGTGGTTTTTCTATATTGGCTAATCTTTATTATAGCCGACAAATTGGCTAGATGGATTAAGACATTTTGGGTAAGGGAATTTGTAGATATTTTAAGGTTAAAGTGGTTGGGAAATAAGTCTAAAAAGGGAATGTTTTTTATGGGATTTTAATATTGAAATTATGAAAATGTTGATGGTTTTTAAAGGAATATTTTGGGGAATCTAGAAAATATAGTAAATATTTTTTTTTTTTAGTTTGAAAAATATATTTTAATGAATTTAAAATATGTTTATGAGCCACATAATTTATATAATGAACTTAATATTTTTTTTTTAGCTGAAAAATTATAATTTTATATTTGACAAGACTTTTTGTAGCTTAAAAAAATTTGTTTTTAAATTAATAATATTTTTTTGGTTATAATTTAATATAATAATACTTATAAATATATATAAATATATATAAAAAAATTTATAAAAATTATCTCAACTTAGTTTAAATTCCTGATAAATTACCTTTATTTTTCCAGCTATTTTCCACTATCCTTAGCATGTGTGAAAACTCCTTAAGAATAACAGAATTTTCACAAACCTCTATTCTTTAGTTAATTCAATAAGAAAACCCCTGAGAAATGATTCGGAGTTTGCACTCCTTTATCTTTAGGCTACTCCCCAGGTTCTCCATTTCGTCATCTGCAAACCCTTTGGCACTCCGCCTCCTCAGGCACCTTTCAGGATTAGGAGGATGCTGCTGCTGCAACCATATGTGCCATACGCTATGCGCATCCTTTGTGCTCCGAATAATAGAGTCCTTGGTTCGATTTCTTCGATTACACCTTTTGCCCCCAAAAGTGTAAATTGAGCTCTAATCAAGGCGAGCCGATCGGGCCGAGTCCCAGCTTCGTTTCAAGCCATCTCACGTTTACCAAAAGGTGCCGAAAAAGTGCCAAAAACACACACACAGAACACAGAAAACAAAACTAGTGAAAGGATTAGGGGCACACAAAGCACACACATGTCCCATGGCGGCACCAAATTAGGTATAGAGGGATCCCTATCCTATCCCTGACCCCATATACCATATAACATATATCCCTGATGGCCTTTGTGCATTGTGCAGGCAGCAAATTAATTGCATTTACTCCGGAGGAAATCCGATACTTTTCCACGCGGCAACACGGTAGCGGGTGTGGATTCACGTCTCTTCTTTTCTTTTTTGTAATCCTAAACTTGTGCCAAACCTTTTGATTAAATAATTAATAATATTTTATAAACAAGCGGCGTGCTTATCAGGCTGGGTAAAAGGGAGGAATGGGGGAAAAAAGAAGGTAAATCTTAGGTGTTTCGTGAAAAAGTTAGGAAAAGATGGTGTCTTATAATTATAAATAAATAAATATCATAATAATAATATATAAGAAGTCTTTAGGACTTTACTATTCCTGAGAATTATTATTTGTTTTTATTATTAGAAATATTCCCTCCATAAACCCCTTTTTAACCAACTCTAACTCCAATATCTCTTAACAATCTTTGTTTATTTTTGCTGAAATTCTATCTGTCTATTAGCTCTTAATGTTTATTTGTTTTCTTGCCGTGTAAGCTACTTGTTTTTGGGTCTTAATCTTTAGAAATGGCCCACACAGGCGCATTTAGGCCATATCTGTGATCTCTGATTTCTGATCAGGGAATGCCACTGCGCACCGCACACATCTTGGCCAATGACAAAACACAGAAGGCCCAAGACAACAGCCAACACATTACCCAGTCCCGAGATGTAGATAAGTATATCATTGGTGCAGTGCAGGACCATCCTTTTCCAAAATACACAGGGGGAAAAGTGTATATAAAAGATTTCTAAAAATAGTTATAATAAAAAAGTGAGAAAAATGTTAGGATATATACTAAAAATGGGATTATGTACATAATTTCTTTTTTATATATATTTTTGAGAGGGAAATACTTTATTTTCTTTACCTTAGAGTCCTATAGTTTTTTTCCTCAGTGGTTCTCTCTCTTCTCCCTTTTGGCCATATTCCTTGGACCAGACCTCGTCCAAGTGTTGACGTCTTGTAGGCGGTAACGATGCCTAAAGGCCGCCAACAACTTATCGACGGACTCGAATCATGGATCTCCCTTTGTGGATGTATGTGCTTGTGTGTTCCCTGGACTGCTCCTACTCCTCCTTCTCTGCTGGTTTTGCCGCAGGATCTGCGATAAATCACCTTGCAGTGATGCCGCAGCCATCAAAATCAATAAAGACCACCGCCGGCCGCTGGAGGGGTGTTTCGAGGTGTAGCCGTTGATGGCTTCATCATCATTGGCCAAGCTGCGGCATTTGATCACAGCATTCGTTCCGCTTGCCTGTAGGTCTCCTCTCCGCACTCCTCTCCTCTTCCTTTTTTTGTTACTTTTTTTGTTGTAGTTAAGGTTTAGGTAAAGGTAAAAGTAAAGGTCAGCTCTGACCAGATGCCTGATTTATGTCAAACTGTTTGATGACCAGTTAATCTTTTGAACTGCTTAATTGCTCGGTTTAGGAGATCCTAAATTAGGTTTGATGTCTTATTAATTAATTACTTTTTATGATTTTGGTTTGTTGGGTTTTTTTATATGTTCTTTAAATTATTTTGATTGAAATAATTAAATTTTATTGCGTTTTTTTGTTATTGAAAATATTTTATATATTTTTTATATTCATTATATCTAAAAAATCTTGCAGAAACAAAATAAAACTGACCAACCAACTCTTAAATATTTTTTTAAATCCCTTTTTTAGTAGGTATGGTAATTTATAATATATATTATAATTATAAATAAGTATATATATTCTTACTTTTGGTTGTTGTTTTTTATTAAAGGAACTTAAATCAATTTTTAAAAGATTATATAAAATATTAAATTTAAAACTATATGGAATTAGTAATTTAACTTTTAACATATTCAGATTTTCTACTTTTTTTATATATTTATATATATAATATATATATTTGTTTAATTTGTGATTATTATTTTTAAATTTGTTTATTTAATATTATTTATTGTTGTATTATATATTTATTTATTGATTTCTTCATATATATATATATTTTATATTTATTTATTCACGTATTGTGTTAAAAGACCCTTATTTTATTCAAAATATTTATTTGGTTAGTTTTTAATTTCCGAGCTTAGAGTTTTCAAATTACGCGCTCCCCGTCTGTTGCCCAGCACTGGTCAATTTGAATTATCGGTAATCGATAGACATCAACGGAGACGTGGTTCGAATATTAGATGAGGTTCAAATATCAGATGTGGTTCGAATCAAGAGTGGCTTTTTTAGGAGGAAATCTCAACTTTTTGGGATTTTTTAGGGGTAGACACAAGTCCCTTAAGTCTGGCCACACTGCTAAGAAAAGAAGAAAATTTTCGCAAGAAAGTAAAGTTGAACTTTAATTGTGCGTTTTGAAGTTTATTTTAAGAACCGTGATACCATGACCGACGATTGGCAGAGCCAGAAGTTCCGCCAGAATGTCATCTCCAAGATGTAAGTACTCTCCAAAACCGAAAACCCGCGGTGGGACTCAAGTTCTGGCCACTTTTGCACAGCCACGACTTGTTGCCGCCGAATTCACAGGATCAGACGAAAAATGCCGGCGTTATGGAAAATCACATTTTCCGCAAGTCGCGCACCAAGGACGAGTACCTCGGCCTGGTGGCCAAGCTCTTCATGCACTACAAGGACATGTCCCGCAAGTCCCAACAGCAGCAGCAACAGCAACAACAACAGCAACAGCAGGGCGGCGGCGGTGGCCCGCCCCCGAATCCCGAGATGGGCGGCGGCCCCAACATGATGCAGGATCCATTGAATGCCCTGCAAAACCTGGCCAGCCAGGGCAATCGAAATCCCCAAATGATGCCCATGGGCGCTGGCGGTGTGGGTGCTCCCGTGCCCGGTGGCCCCGGCACTGCCTCCAATCTACTGCAATCGCTGAACCAACAGCGTCCGGGTGTTCAGCAGCAAATGCAACCCATGCCCAATATCCGCGGACAAATGCCCGGCGGCCAGCAGATGCAAATGCAGGGCGGCGGCGGTGGCGGCGTGATGATGGGCGGTGGAGGAGCTGTTGTGGGCGCCCAAAATCAAGGACAAATGGTGGGCAATCCCAATCAGCAAATGGTGGGTGGTGGCGGCGGCGGCGGTGTTATGCCCAATCAGATGGTGGGACCGGGTCCAAACAGTGGCCCGGCTGGCGGAGGAGGCGTTGGACCAGCAGGGCCAGGAGCAGCGGGTGGCGGTGGACCTGGCGTGCCCAATCAAATGCAAGGCGGTGGACCAATGAACGTGAATGCCATGCAACAGATGCCGCCCATGCAGCAGATCCAACAGAACCAGATTGTGGTGAGTATCTCAGTCTCTAAAACATTGAATTCCAATAATTTCCCCTCTTAACCCACAGATGGGCATGAATCCCATGATGCGCATGGGCCAGGGCAATGGTATGGGCGGACCCCAAGTAATGCCCGGCCAGGGGATGCAGGGCATGCCCCCAAACATGCAGCAGGGCCCCGCAGGACAGCAGCAGGTGGTCGGTGGAGGCGCCGGCCTGCCACCCAATGCCGTGCAGCAGCAGCAGCAGCAGCAAGTAGGCATGGGAATGGGAGTGAATATGCCGCCGAATCTCCAACAGAAACCCAATATGGCCATGGGCCAGGCGGGAGGTCAAATGTTTCCCGGAAATCGGGTGGGACAGCAGCAGCCGGGACAGCCCTTTATGCGCTCCAGTCCTTCGCCAGCGGATGCCCAGCAGTTGCAACAGCAGCAGCAGCAGGCACAGCTCCAGCAGATGCAGCAACAGCAGCAGCAACAACAACAGCAGCAGCAGCAGCCAACGCAGCAACAGCCACCCACCCCCCAGCAGATGCCCACGCCCAATATGATACCCAGCCCGGCACTGGTGCCCCAGTCCAGTCCACAGATGATGCAAATGCAGAATCCCCAGCAGCGCAACAACCTGCGTCAGCAGTCGCCGAGTGCCTCGATCAATACACCGGGACAGGTGACCGGCAACAGTCCCTTCAATCCCCAGGAGGAGGCCCTGTACAGGGAGAAGTACAAGCAGCTGACCAAGTACATAGAGCCGCTGAAAAGGATGCTGGCCAAGATCAGCAACGATGGGACCAGTGAGTATTACCTGAAATATAAATAAAAGAATTAGGTTACATTGAAATCTTCCCCAAAGATGTGGAGAAAATGACCAAGATGAGCAAGCTGCTGGAGATCCTGTGCAATCCCACACAGCGTGTGCCCCTGGAGACCCTTCTCAAGTGCGAAAAGGCTCTGGAGAAGATGGATCTCATCTCCTATTCCGGCCAGCAGTTTGGCGTAAGTATTAAATTATTTATTTAAGGGAATTTTGGGTAAATCCTTTTAATTCTTCTCCTCAGAAATCCTCGAATCCCCTCCTGGAAGTGATCAATACCACCCTCCAAAGTCCCGTGGCCAATCACACGCTGCATCGCACCTTTCGTCCCACCTTGGAACTGCTCTTTGGCACCGATATAGCGGCTCCTGTGCCCGCCAAGCGACCCCGTGTGGAGGAAAAGAAGAGCTCAGCCTTCGAGCAGGATGTGCCGCATGTCCTCCAGGGCGAGATTGCCCGCTTGGATAGCAAGTTTAAGGTCAAACTGGACACCACAACGCAGATAAATAACAAGGCCATACGCCTGATTTGCTGCCTGGACGACAAGCGGTTGCCCAGCGTTCCGCCGGTGAGTGTCAGTGTGCCCGAGGAGTATCCATGGCAGGCACCGGACTGCTCCCTAACGGAACAGGAGTACTCTGCCTCGCCCTTCCTGCAAACGGTGCAGCAGGCTTTGATCGCACGCATATCCAAGTTGCCCAAGAACTACTCGCTATCCCATCTGCTGGACACCTGGGAGATGGCGGTGAGGCAGGCATGCTCGCCGCAGGCCAAGCCCAAAACCGTTTGTGAATTTACCGCGCTGTTGGGTGTTTAATTCAAATTAAAATTAAGTGCAAGTAAGATTTTTAATTTTTAATTTATTCTATTTTACAAATTTTGATTTTGATTTTTTACTTTATTATTTTTAATTTTCATTTCAATTTATTTTCTAAATTCTTATTTTGATTTTTTATTTCTTTTTTACTTTATTTTCTACTTTTAAGAGAAAAAAAATCTAAATATAGCTGAAAAAAAAATTAAAGCAACAAATACGGGACTTAATCAAGAACTCGTCGCAGAGGAAAATCTCTGAAAGAATTCAAGAATCATTTCAAGACTGAATCAAGAACATATTTATTTCATCAATGATATTTTCAAAATTTATACCGGGGTAAGTTTGAGGTTTCTTTATTTTCCATCTCTTAACTATTCCCCAATGATTTAATATTCTCGGTATAAAAAGTATATAGAAATTTATTAAGGTTATATAAGATCTTTTGGATACATTATCTAGGATTATACTCCTATCTTTACAAGCAGAGTGTTAAGTAAGAGTATCTGCAGATCTTCAGGATATTTTGCCAGGCAAACTTTAACTTTACTGCTAAAAAATATTTAAACGTAAAAAGGCTTCTATTTTTTTGGAATTGTGAATAATGTAATAAGTGCTTCAAGACACTTTTGGGTTCTAGAGGGTTAAGTTACTTTCTTGGCAATTTTGAAAATATAATTTTGGGAAAATATACACTGGTACACACATCTTTATAAGCTTCTTATCAGTAGCAACTGAAGCCGACTGCCTCTTAGAATTTCATCCCATGATTCTGGGAATCAGTTCATCAAATACTTTTACCTTCACTAGTCGCAAACTGTCTCCGAGTTCCAGAATGCTCAAATTCCTTACTTATCTCCTTTTGGCGGTGGCTGCATCTTCAGCGGAGGACCTACAATCAGGTTATGTTTGCCTGATAGACAAACCCAATCCCCAACAATGTGACAATTTCTGTCTCAACACACTGGAACCGCTGCTCAATAAAATCTCCCAGCGGCGAGATGAAGGGATCACTTGTAATGCTGACGAAGAAACCAAAACGAAGCTGGACCGATTGGAAGTCAAAATGGAAGAGCAACTGAAGCAAGTGCGTGAAAAGTTGGAAGGCCAACTTGGAGGAATTGAACGAAATCTGCTTACGGCGCAGACTGGACTAGTAGGCCAACTGCAGATGGATCTGATTACAATGAAAGCCCAACTGCAGGAAATAATAAACAAGATGAATGACTTTAAGCGGATTGGTTCGAGGTATTTCCGTATTGTAGAAGAAAAAGTGAATTGGTTTACTGCTAAGAAGAAGTGTTTTCAGTTGGGAGGCTATTTAGCCGCCTTTCAAAGCAAAATGGAATTCAAGGCCATCGGAGAAAAACTTAAAGAAAATGAGAACTACTGGCTGGGCATAAATGCCCTGGAAAATGAGGGCCACTATGTATCCATGGCCTCCGGTCAACCACCGCCATTTGTAGATTGGGGAGATGGGCCTGCATTAAGTAGTAGATGTGGTTCGATCCAAAATGGCAAAATGTGGGAGGACGATTGTTATTCTACCTTTTATTTTATTTGTCAGGCAGACAATGAGACTTGATGAAATAAGCTTAAACATTTTTAAATAAACTTACATTTTAGATAGTAATAATTTCCAAAAAGTTTACTAAAAAAGAGAGGGGGGCTCTTATGGCTTTTCAGCATTTATTTTTATTTCAGAAAGTTTTAGCACTGTTTTTCAGGTAATCTCGTTATCGCTTTGTTTTCGCTTCTATGCAACAAAGTCATTCATTTTAACTTTAATTTACTTGTCACTTTCCCATCGATAGCAATGTTTTTCTTTAAGTGTATGTGAGTTTTGCAAACATAATAACCTTGGGGGAAATATACACATATAAATCGAATCAGCATACAAAGTCAGCCTTCTTATCAGTCGCAATGGAAGCCGGCTGCCTCTTAGAATTTCATCCAATGATTCCTGGAATCAGTTCATCAAATACTTTCACCTTCACTGGTCGCAAACTGTCTCCGAGTTCCAGAATGCTTAGACTCATTACTTATCTCCTTTTGGCGGTGGCTGCATCTTCAGCAGAGGACCTACAATCGGGCTATGTTTGCCTGATTGATGAACCCAATGAGGTCCAACAATGTGAGAATCTCTGCCTCAACAGACTGAAACCGCTGCCCAATAAAATCTCCCAGAGGCAGAATCATAATGGTAATGGTAAAAATCAAGCAAAGCTTGACCGATTGGAGATCAAAATGGGAGAGCAACTAAAGGACATGCGTGAAAAGTTGGAAGACCAACTTAGTGGACTTGAACGAACTTGCGATGCAAACTACATTAAAAGGCCAACAGGCAATACTCTCCAAAATGGAAAACCAACTGGAGGCATTATTAAAGATCATGAATTTTACCCAAGAAGCAGACAAGGTGAAAAAAGAAGCTGAGGAAAAACCAGCTGAGGAAAAAGTGCTTTCGATGGAGGACGGTTTTGATTTTGATGCGATTTTTGTTAGGGAAAAACCAGCTGAGGAAAAAGTGCCTCCGATGGAGGACGATTTTAATTTTGATGCTATTTTTCCACCACCTAGAAATACATAAGAATTGGCTTCCTGCGGAAAGGAAAGGTGTATGGAGATTTTTAAATAAAGTTACATTCAAAATAATAATAATTTGTCGAAAGTAAAGAAGGGGTTCTTATGATATTTCAGAATTTATATTAGTTTGATAAATTTTATAACACAATCAAAGGGAGAGTTAACTTTGAGAAGCCAAAGTTTATATAACTCATGAAACATACTTTCCTTTTCGGGGATCTAATCTTGAATTTCCTTGCCCAACCAGGGGTAGTGGCTAAGCCCCAATTATATTCCCCCCGCCCATTTAATACAATCAGTTATAAGATTATTTTCGAAAATATGTATATTTTCATTTGTTTTGAGATTTGAATCTTTTGGGGATCCATTTTCTTTTTTTTTTCATGTTTTTCTTTTCTCTTTTTGTTGACATTTAGCAATAAATACAATTGTTATTAAGTTTAAGAGAATTACTCGCGAATAACTATAGTACGATATAGAAAATAGTTAAGAAAAAACTTAAATATCACAGATGTTCGTCTAATATATATTTACAAGGTATATTCAGAGTCGGGAAATTGAAGTATGAATCTGAAGAAGATTGCTGCTAAGCTATAAGATGTGCTCTTGAATTGAAGAAAAAACAAAATTTGACAAGATCTAGCTCTTAACTAAAGCTTAAGACTAACACCAGCTACACTTGACGAAAAAACTCTGTTGATCCGAATCAGGAATAGAATTCTAAGCTCTTGGAAACACTCTTTAAAGAAAAGATTTTTGAAATGAGTTCTTTCTGGGATTACGAAAACAAAATCTATCAAACTCTACTCTACAAAGACTCTACTCTTTTGTCGATTTCTCTGATTTTTGGTGGGAGTTTTTTCTTTTTTTTTCTAAGCTGGCGATACTGTCGGGTGTGAGATTGGTTCTGGATGCAGGTGCTCCTGGTTCTTCCTCCCCTCATCGCTGCACTTGAAGCAGGGCTCCGCCGAAACTAAAGCTAGCCTGCTGCTGTAGCCGCAGGAGATCCTGGGCGCTGTAGACTTGCAGGCTGGCCGAAGAGGAGGAGGAGGAGGAGGTGGATGTAGAGGAGATGGGCGAGGAACTACCGCTGCTGACCGCCGGTGCTATCGCTCGCAGATGTAGCGTGCTAGCATCGCACAGGGAAGCGGCAACGGAGGTGGCGGCGGACACAGAGGCGGAGGCATTGACCAACGAGACATGTCTATTGACGCCGTTCGCCTTGTCCTTGTTGTGGCGCTTCACGTGCTTGGACAGATGATCGCTGCGCATGAATTTCTTTTGGCAGACGCCGCACTGGAACTTCTTTTCGCCGGTATGGGTGCGCTTGTGCCGCGACAGCTCATCGGAGCGGGAGAAACGCTTGTCGCAGTTGTCCCACTTGCAGATGAAAGGCCGTTCACCGGTGTGCACACGCTGGTGGGCCTTGAGGTGGCTGCTCTTGAAGTAGTTCTTTCCGCACTCCGGGAAACTGCACTCGTAGATGCGACTCCTGGTGGCGGCCGCCTGGGCGGCTGTGATTCTGGGATGATGTTGCTGCTTCTCCTCCTCGGCGGGCATGATGATGGGCGTGTGACTCTGCTGGGCGGCAACTGTGCTGAGCAGGAGGAGCTGACTGGCTGGAGAGGCTACCACTGGGGCGAGATAGAGCACGGGCTTGGCTTCCTCCAGCTCCTCTTCCTCCTGACGCCTTTCCGCTGGTGCAGATGGTGCCGGAAGCTGAGGAGCAACAGGTGCTACTTCCTCTGGTTTTTGTACTGGCGGCATAGCAACTTCCGCTGCCCGCTTCCTGTTCATCTTGAACTTGAGATTACGCCACACATTGGTCTCTGGATAGTCATCCTCGACGGTGGGCGCCATGGAAATTGTACTTGTGGTGGTGGTGGCATTGGACGAGGAGAAGGAGGAACTGCAGCAGGAACTGGAACTGGAGGAGCTGGAGCTCTCGTCTTGGTTGCTGGAAGAGACCGCTCCCGAGCTGTTGACCCTCATGATGACACTGACCCTCTCCAGCTTCTGATCCGGCGGCGGTGTCATGCTCACAGCGGGCTGTTCCAGGCGCGGCTTTTTGCTGGGCATCTCGGTAGCCTCATCCTCCGTGTCCGAGGGATTAGGTGTGATGATGCCGCCATTCTTTTGGTTCTTCTGGGCCACCAGCTTGAGCTTGGCCTTCAGCAGGTTCTCGTTCACCTGTTGCCCGTCCTTGACGACCTGAAAGTATACAAGAGAAAAGTCAGGGATTAGTGAGAGTTCATCAACATGGTGTTTTGGACCTAAAGAGTGCATTCACATTCACATTCCCGTTCCCATTCACTTTTTTCCCTGACCAGCTTTGACCCACAATAACTCTTCCCGTCGAAATTCCGCTAATTACTGGCAGCGACGGCTGCTGTACAAGGCCATTCACCGCTGCTGACCTTCACCCACCGCCGCACCCAACCCACCGAGTTCAATGCTCGGTGCGTGTGAGGCCAAGGGAGCAGGGTTTTTTTTTTGCGGTTTTTTGAACCTGCTTCAAACGGCTTTTCGAGGCGAGAAGTAATGAGTAATCAAGATTCGTTTTTTAAGCATTGTGATTTATTTTAATTTAATTTAAAATATAAAAAAAAGGGGGAACATGTGAAAACTTGATAATTTTGTTTTCAGTATTTTATACAGAAAACCAAAATAATGGGGAAAAAATATGTTCTTGTTAGTTTTTTTTATTTATTTTTATTATTTGTTAATTTATGCAACATTTTCCATATATTTTTTCTCCGTCTCTACTCCCTAGTTCCGTTTTCCCCATTTTAATATATATACTTATGACGCACATATTCCAACAAAAGTATACAAATTTTTTCTAGAATTACATTTTGACTATGACCACTAACTTTCTGGTTTTTTTTGTGCCGTACTTCCCATAAGCGAAGTGCCGCCTAAAAGCAGGCAGCGGAAAATGCAGTCTTACTTTATTATGACGTGCCTCAGGTGGGTGAAATTAGTGGGGTGAGGAAGGGGGTCTTGGCGTGTGTAGACGTTGAAATCTTTTTATGGGCTCGGCACGTTGCGCTCAATGTGTGTGCGTTTTGGGTTTGTTTGTTGCCTTCTTTCTTGGCCAGATAAGTTAAGTTAAAACGACCGAAAGGCAGGAAAAAAGAAGCAAAGCAACCAGCCAGCAACTAGAAATGTGACATATTTTTATGGCTTGGGGCTTGGCCTAGCTATCGTTCCCTCTCTGCCCCACGCCCCCACAGTTGCCAACAATTGGCAACTCACCTTCGCTCTCAAACAAAACTCTCTCACGGGGCCGCTCTCTCTGTATACCTCTCGCGTGTTGTGTTGCTTTTTCTACTACTGCTGCTGGCTGGTGCCAAGTCCAATGTTCAGGCAAGACCCTCTCGCTCCCACTCACACATCACTCGCTGTGCATGCGGTGTTCACGTGAACGCGTGCTGGCTGCGTGATCGGGTGGCCTGGGGGCGAGTGGGAGCGAGACCGAGAACTTTTGTTTTTAGAAACGCGACAAGTGGAAGCGAGAGCGAGCTAGCCACCGATTCCGTTTGATTTTCCGTTGACTTTCCGCTGCCTTGAGTGCACTCGAAACAATTGCTAATCACTTTCAAAGTGTTCCTGCACCTTTGTAGGTCACTTACATTTTCCAATTTGTTTTCACGCAACGGGGGCGTTGCGGGTGGCGAGGGCAGCAGGGTATCCATATCCATTCTGCTGGCTTTTCGCTGCACTTTGAACTGCTGCACACTGCGCTGCGAAGAGTCTGTTGTCTGTTTGTTTGTTTGTTTTGCTCTCTGGCTTATCACTTTATCACTTGGCTTAATCTCAGTTTTTGTGTTCTGCGTGTGGGCCTTTTGCACTGTTTTAATTTCGCACTGCGTTTTTTGAGCCGTGTGCCGAGCTGGGCGAACCGTTGCGTTCGAAATTCAAGAGACGAATGAAAAAGGCAAAGGCGTTCAGCTACCAGCAGAGCTGGCGCTGCCGACGTCGCCGTGTGTGTGAGTGGAGCCGCCGACGTAATCACTTGTAAGTGGGCATGTGTGCGTGCGGCAATCGTCATCGGCAGTGGAGCAACCAGTGCAATGAAACCCGGACGAGCATCAGCCAGCAGAAACGTGGGCAGAGCGCCACCTCCTCCTCGCTGTCTCTCTTTCGAAAAAGGTCAGGTCTCTTACCAACCCACACACACAGCGGAAAAGAGGGGGCAGATTGTGATGATGAGAGAGGCAGTTCTCGGAGGGGAAACACGTAACCAACGCATGGACGTCATCAGCTGTTTACTGCGAGAGGGAGAACTGAGTGAGAGAGAGGCACAGAAGAACTGGGGGGGCAGGGGCGTCTTGGATTCCATGCCATGCCATTCCATTGGGGGCTGTCTATTCATAGGCTGTTCATGCAGTGGCCGCGTGCACAGCCCCAACTCACACACAGACACACCCCAAAGCCGTGACTGAATAGCTGACGCTGACGCAGTTGTTGCCACGGAAGTCTGTGATTAATCGAACACAGAAAATAAGCTGAAAACAGGCTCAGACGAAAAACTGGGCGGCAGACGCCCCTCAAAACCGAAATCCATTAAAATCTGGCCCCGCATATTATTTGCATTAACTTTAGAGCCAAGTCTGACTTTGAGTCTGGCAACAAAAGTTGTCAGCAGACGAAAGATTTCATTAATAAACGAAAGACGGAGCAAGAAAGAGTCTAATGGGGGGCTGCGCTCAACAGTTGAGCGAAGGCATTGCCAGGCGAAAGAAAGGAGCAGATAACGGGGATGAGTCATGGGAAAAGGCAATTTCAAATGAGCTTTTTTACAAGCTCCATGTAACTGATAAATAGTCAGACTGCGATTTAATTCATTTAATTGCTAATCCCGTCTAACCTCCGGGTAAATTCCACCTGGCAATGCCACATCTAAGTCTCTGCCTGTAACAGTTTTTCAATGCAAAAAGGGGCTCGTGCAGCGTACACACCGCAAGAGAGGAAGAGCGAGCGAGCGCCAGAAACAGCTGTGACTATTATACGGCGGCGCTCGTTGGGGCTCTCTTGCTTGCGCAACAACAACAACGCCGACGAATAACTAGCACGCCACCAGACTTGTGTGGCGACTGGTTCGCTCCATCGAGGGTATCAAGGGTATGTTGAAGATAGTATTGGGTGTTGGGGAAAACTACCGAATATTGATTAATTTTTCATCTCAGGTGGTGTTAATATATTTTTAATTTACTTGAAACTCTTTGGTGTCCTACATTAAGTCAAGGGTATTCCCCAGTCGACTCCCTGAGGTAAATAACCTTCTTACTGGCTGAGCACGCTCGCCTGGGTGCCTTGGGTGTGTGTGTGTGAATGTCTGTGTCGGTCCGTCTGGTATCACGCGTTGACCTCATGATGTTCACGTGAACATTTGTTGATACTTTGCCTCGCCACACGGCTGCCTGAGTGGGAGCGAGAGGCGGCGATAAAAGCCAGCAGTCTGCGGCATGCCTATCGGTGTGCCTGTCCTCCTCTATGTGTGCGAGAGTGTGTGAATGTTTGCAGTACTTGCGTTTTTGTTTTTGTTCCCGTGTTCGTGTTTGTGTTTGTTATTGGAATCGGGGAATTGGTGTGTGTAAATTTCGCGCGGAACTGAACTAAAGCAAGCGACGGCCTCCATCCACTCTCTCGGGGAATATGTGGGCGTGTAAATGGGCCGATGTACCGTTACCGCTCCTCTGCCGCACCCCTCCCTTCCGGATTTTCAATGCAAACTGCGACGCAGTTGGGGGAGAAGCTTCTCCGCGGGAATCTGTATGGTGCATTTAGCTAACGTTTAATTTAATCAACAGACGCAGGTTGAAATCTAAAATTAGACGCACATCTCGGCTCCCCTCGGCGGGTTCAAGTTCAGTACAGTTCCCTTGACTTGCATCCGCCCACGCAGATCCGGATCCGTATTCCACGCCCACCTGGAGTACCTTCTCCGGGTGGCAAAATCCGGAATCTGAGTACTCACGTGGGCCCACGCACATTCTCGTCAGCACGTAGGCCGCCGGGCACTGTGAAAAACAGTACTGATAACGCAAAAGATTGACTGACCCACCTCTCATCGGATTTCATCAGACAAGTCCGAATACCAAATATTTTTGTTAAAGGTGTTTCAGGTCCAGAGATACCGTTGTAGTATGATAACGTAACGTTATAAATTATGATACTTTAAAGTAAAAAGGTTAGGTTAGTCTTACTTGTAGGTCCCTCTTGTAGATTATTATCACAGAAACCCACATACCAACTTTGATGCCAATAGTTCTTCAAGGTTATTAATGATAATAATACATAATTCCTGGGAAATAAGAAGGGTTTTTGTGGAGGTCTATTTAAACAACAACAATCTCAAATTTAAGAAGAAAAGTTCCTGGTGCCTCCGAGATATAGTTGCCCGATGATATTATTATACCTTTCAAAAAGCAGAATCCATTTTTATTTTCGGTGTGGCAAAATGCCGACGACTTTGGGGGCAGGAGCGACTTGGAGATGAGAGCAAACCCATTCTTTTCCGCTGAGCGAGTTTGCGCATTGACGTAACACTCTGCTGGTCTGGCATCTGGCATTACGTAGTGTCCCGTGTGTCCCTCTCGGTGACGTCACACCCACGCTGAACTTTACTCCTGTTGCGCGCGTCAAAGGTCAAAAGCGTAAGAAGAGTGACGTGTCGGCGTTAGCTACCGCCGGGTTCAAGGGCGCACCTACGCTTCTTTATGCTTTATTAATGAAAAGCGAAAAACCCAAGCAGAATCAAAAAGCACAAAAGCAGACAACTTGTGCTCGGAGGCGTTGGTCGAGCGTCAATCACAGGTGGACCCTGACGTCAGGGCCCTCTCAAGAAAATAACCTCTTCCTCGCATTCGCATTCGCATTCACACTCGCATTATTCATATTCTCGTATTCCTCGACTCAATCATGTAGACGGCGAGTGGCAAAAAGTCATGAGGAATTGGTCTATAATTTGCCACGGCAACACAATCGTCAAATGCGACGCCCATTTTTGCAATTTTCCTCATTTCACTTTCCCAAAGCATATTTCTTGGCACTCTCGGGGCGTGGGTAAACCCCCGATATCGCCCGTGTTCTTTCCTCTACACAACATTCACCACAGAAAACGCGCCAAGATCATCGTCAAAAATCTCCATGACGTCATGGAGAGCCCAGCTCGTGACTTCAAACTGAAGACACTCTTCGTTAGCTTACTTGTTTACCCGTCTTTGAGGGAGTGATGATGATGAATTAAGCTGAAATTTCCATTTAGCATAGTTGTAAACATGTTTACAAATAAGAAGAATTTCCACAATTGAACACAGAGATTGTGAGAAGACTGCCCTTTGAAATGGGTCAAACTGGTTTGCGAGGGAGAAGACTGACTCTGAAAATCTTTAGGAAAACTCCTTAAAAAGTTTTCTTTAGATTTGTTAATTGAAAAATATTAAAGTAGAGAAATCAAAGAGTCTTTTGTTACCTTGGTAGATTTTTTAGGGAGAACAACCTTTATAGCTAAAATCTTTTCAACATTTCATCATGATGCGTAAATATATCTTTTTTTATTGTCTCAGTAAACAAATGTCTATATTGTTATAAGTAATAATATCTTTTTCCAATATACATATACCAATATATTTTGACGAGTTATAAAAGAGTGGCTCACATGACTAACTCGAGACCCAATATCTAAATTAAGACCTATCATTTTAATGAACCGATCTCGATCTTTTGGGGACTATTGATCAAAATATTAATGAGAAACTCAAATCGGATGTTATTTATATTATGACTTTACGACTTTAGCGTTTCTATATCGATTATAATCACATGGTTAGGAGTCTTAATGGAGAAAACCCGATCCTTGGCGAACCTCGAGACTCTAATAACCACTTAAGATTCCAATTTTAATTAATGATCCTCGATCTTTATGAAGCTTTTCATAATTCTGGATGGTTAGTTTAGGGTTTGACTGTGTTAACAAAATAAGTTAGCAGCATCCCCAACTCGAGACGTGTGTCTTTGTAGATTTTAAGCGTTTTTTTTAAGTCTTCAAGAGAAGTTAAAAGTCTCTCTTAAGCACACTTTGGAGTCTTATCTCTCTTTCTCTGTGTTTGTGTAGATTTTATAGAGAGATCTTTCCCCCTCAGAACCGAAACCCCCTTGTCATGTGTTCTCCCGCCTAATCCCCTTCACATGTGATGCGTTTTTTTCGCTGCCTCTGTCGGCGTCGCTGCTGTCTACGTGCCTGACGACGCGTTGCTCTAAAAACCGAAAGCTAAAAAAAAAATACAAAAAAACGGAACAGAACGAAATGAAACGGAATGGTGGAGAACCACAAAGTTTACAAAGATCTTTGGAGCAAGGCCACCGCCATGTAAACAAGGCGGTACTGCTTCCCAAATGGAAATTTACGATGATGCGAAGGTTTCCCCCGGTCACTTATGCCCATATGATACAGTAATGCAGTTTTCATTAATTAGCTACTTCATTAGAACCTTGAAAGAGTCAGCTATATTGTCATTTTGTTTGGATTTTGCTTGGATTTTGCTTGGATTATTTTGGTAATACGACTACGGTCACACCGACCGTAAAAGGTAAACAAAAAAAACGGCCGCCATTCGCGGCGTATTATTATGAATTTCTGAATTCCTCGTCGAAGTATTATTGCATAAATAAATGCAGAATCCTTTAAATTTATGTTTTTAACCTATAATGCTTAAAATTTTTTTAATTATTACAAAAAAAATAATTTTAATTAATTTTACTGCGCTAGAAACTTGCTACTGCAAAACATATTATTTTTGCTAATTTTCTAATATATTTTCAGTTCAAAAAACAAGCGAAATGATATAAAAATAAAATTCTCATTGTGAGACCATACTGTCAATGAGCTGGCTAATACATTTTTCAATTACAATTTTCTTCATTAAACCCGT